CTGTCGTGTTCACTGATACCAAACGTTGAAAGAAGTCACTCTAGTCGTGAAGTGCTGTTCAGCTTCTTGTTATGAAGCGTCTGTTTGTTATTTACAGTACTTCGAATCAAGGAATGCAGAGGTTGTGGCGGCAACGACGGAGGCTTTCAGCTGATTTTTGCTTTGTGACCAGTCGTCACCACCTTCTAATTGTTCTACGATTGCGTTCATCGATTGACTCGACGTATCCGTCTCTCTCGCCTGTTAACGAAAACGAACGCTAACATTATTCGCCGAACGAACGAACCACTCGGTTGGTACATACTCCTGGCGACGACTGTCACTAGTCTTGCTTCGTCTCCTGTCAGCGACGTTCATTCATCCGTTCATTAGTCATCGCTCATCATAATCAAGTCACTGCAACGAGGTAGAGGTCGAAAGTTCTTCTTACGCGAGAGGAACGAGAGCGGAAGGCGCGACAGAAAAACGAGGTACGTTGTTTCTCGCCTAGACTTCTCGTCTTTCTCGTCGCGTTCATTCGACTCATAAGCCTCATCGGCTGTTCGAAGGCTAGCACGAAGAAAGCAGGCGCTCGCCTGGGAGGAGCAGACGGCGATTTCTAGCTTTTACATTTGGCCTTGTGGTTAGAGAAAGATTCTCAGACGTAAGGAGACTTGTCAATCCGCGATTCTCAGAAATACGTTAGGCGCGATCGCGCTCTTCGTCACTGTCCTGAGTATAGAGTGTGAGCGCTAGGCTGAAGTTCTTGCGAACACGTTCACTCACTTAATTGATGTATCATTGACAAATTGATAGAGTTGTTTTATTTTATTCGTAATGAAGCACGTTCAGTCTGAATTAAAAAATGTCACAATAATAAGAAAGCGCGGCATATTGAGCTGTTGAAAACTTATTGAGCTTTCCAGATTTTGGATTGGAAAGTCTCGAATTTGTTGATTTCCAAATAATACTTCAGGTTTTTGATTCTAGGCCCATGATTATATAGATAGGTGTTTGAACGATTCATGGTTCAGGGCACAAAATACAACAGGTGGGAGACAACTTATTGCCGACGCGTTTCGCTACATACACCGTAGCACCATTAGGGTAAGGCTAAGAACAAATGACTGCTTGAAGGCACTTATGTCCAACAAACGAGCTGTACTTTACAATTAAAATGCTATTTAACTGATCGGCAAGAATATTAAATGATAAACAACGTGAAGTTCTGAATAAAACAGTCGGAATATTGTTGTGTTAATTCGCTTTTTGTATCAGTTTTTCGATCATACTTTAGGTTTCACTAATAATCAGATGTGCATTCGTTGCGCATTCGGTTTTTTATTGCAGGTATATGCAAGATCTCCTTTATCAGCAGACTTAATTTAGATAGGTCTTTTTCCATAACAGACACATTAGTCTAACTGAAAGAATGTCATCCAGTAATCGCATGCTGGGAAATACCAGAATTGCCACCCTTTTCAAGGCAAATCGCGAAAAGGTGCTCTTTTATCCGGATGTTGAGTTGCCGGTTGGTCTTCTCAGTGTACACTTTATCGCATTCTCTGCACTGAAATGTCTATGTCAGATTGAACAGTTCTTCAAAGTTATTAATAAGCATGTACTTTTAAACAGAATACTGCCCACTGTTCTGCCAGTGTTGTAGTAGACCCTAAACTCCATGTAATTAAGGTATCTCCTGAGCCGTTGAGACACCTCGGATATGAACGGTAAAATTACCATTGGTCCACATGAACTGATCATCTTAAAGTTCGAGCTGGGGTAAAAAAGTTCTTCGTCAAGGATCCTCCGTCGGTAAAGATTTTTTAGGAACGCTTGGTGAAGATGTTGCATTTCTGCTTTTAGAGCCGAAATGTTATTGTAGGTCTCTTGGGCTCGAGTAATCCAGGAGGGACGCATGACGCCGGATGTAGGTATCGATTGGAGTGTGTTGGTTTCCAATATACGGAAACCTCAAATTCAAATGTTGGAGTCCTATTCATCAGCACGTCGAGAAAGGATATGGAGTGGTTAACTTCTACTTCAGTAGTAAAGCGTATTCGGTCATTTTTATCCTATCCATTCATGTAATTCAAGAAAAATTCTAACTTTTCCAGTTCGTCTTCATTTCGTTGGGACAACAGGAAAATGTCATCAACGAATGGGACATAGAAGAGTGGTCAGAATTCTGGCGGGCATTCCTTGAGGGCTTTCACCTCCAGATGGTTCATATAAAGATCAGTCAACACAACACTCACCGGGGAGTCCATTGGAACGCCGTACCACTATCGTCTGGTAGTAGATATTGTTCGCGAATTTGAAACTGGTGCCATTCATCACTAGGCTAAAGATTGTCATTAATCCCTCAGTGCTGCAATTCCATAACACGTTATGAGATGTCTTCCATTCCTCCATCGTATTCTTCAAGATGTTGGGTAGAATATTGGCCAGCGTGTTAGTATTCACATTGTGGAAAAGGGCGCTGATTTCTAGGGAAGCCGTGAAGTTATTGAAGCCGGAACCATGAATCATTGAAACCCCTATCTATAGTTGATTCCAACTTGTAACGTTTTTCGCGTCGTTCGTAGCAAACGTAAGACAACAATAATGAGCAGACGATCAGTCGGTAGGCGATCGCCAGGGGTCTAGTTTTGTAGTCTTCATTCTCATCGGTGTCAAGCAAGGAAGACAAGCAGACGACCTCTAGTGACAGCTGGTCGACCGCAACAAAAGCAGCGGCGGCATCGTGGCGAGAAAATATGATACATATGATGGTGAAGATCAAAAAATCCAGTCGCCACTTATGATTGATGACAATGGCAGATTTCGTCGTCCATCCAGACGGATGAAGATAACATAAGTGCGAACACTAGTGCAACGTCTCCTAGCTGGATTTCTCATATGCGAATCAGCAATGGCGAGAATGATAACATTTTCTATTCATTTCATGCAGTTCACTAGGCATAGTCCCGATCACCGCCGATCTTACCACTACTCACTTTTTAAAGGATAGATGGCACAATGAAAAGTTTCCGTTTCATCATGCTTTAATTTTGTCTTTTTGCTTTTTTTTATCCAGGATTCCCTGTTGCTAGATAGCATTGCTTTAAAAGGCATAGAGAACTCTGCCAGTCTTGGCTACCATCGTTAACTGACAGTTCTGGGTTCATGTCAGGCCTTCCTGAGCACAATATTTCAAACTACGCCTCGACCTATCATGTCATCCATTGTTTGTTTCCCATTCTGCATGATGAGGACGCCGAGGCTAGATTACCGAGAGTCTCTGACAGTTGATCCATGTATATGTTATTGTGCGGTGCGCTGTTCTTACATGGCTGGGAATTTAAACATTTTCCATTTCTCATCAGCTTCCCACCGATGCCTGTTTGTCTGATCATCCGTTCGTCAAGCAGAGCCAAATCTCAAGTGTCCAACTGGTTTTGTTGTTATTCGTTGGTTGAGATCTCAACAGATGGAGAGCATCTTGATTTTTCACCTCGTTTCGTCTCTATTCCGGTCGTCGACGCCTACAACTCGAGACATTCCCCTCGCAGCTCATCCCTCTCCTGTCGCCACTTCACCCCGTGTCAACTCATTTCTGTTTCGTCATCTATCGCGTTTTTCTTCATCAAAGTTTCGGCGACACCGGTGGTCCGCGTCTCATCCAACAGACTGGGCAGAAGGCTAGTCGTTCACTAGGCGACGAGGGCAGCAGTCTATCTATTCAGTCGTTCATGCGTCACGGTAGCCGTGGAGAAGCCAGTCTGTGCTGTTATGGAGACGACGACAAACAAAAATGGCGACCGTGCGTGTGTGCAGGTCAATAGATTCTTCTCGAGCAACATTGTGAGAGTGAGCTGAAAGTGTGTGCACAAGCGACGAGAAAAAAAGAGGAGCAAGGTGAGGAAAATGAAAACCTATTCTAGTGCAGCTATCCAACTTGACCTCTCAAACACTAAATGAAACAGAAAGTTTGATACCAGAAGATCATATATTTTATCAGCCGCAGCTTCCGGTTTACCTCAACCTTCGAGGAGTTGAGGTTTTTGTAGAACCACGAGCTCGGCACTTTCATGCGATCTGTGCTTGTCGTTCCTCCTTCGTCCTTAGTGCTCCTGCGTCCGCTGTTTTAGGTGGATGCACTTTTCCTGGCCTTCAAGTTATTCTTTTTTGATGCGGCCTCTCCTAGCTTCGTTCTCCCGTACTCTTCATGATCCTCCTAAATTTTTTGCGCCAAGCGGTTTACTCGTAGTACAGTTGCTTATCAGCCTTCATTCTGGCTCTTTCGGCCAACAGCTGCCTCGTTGCAGGGCAGGTGCGTTGTTTCATCGTGGCCATTACGGCTCTGCTGCATGAACGGATGATTGTTTTTATGGTATCGGTGAATCGCTGGTAGTCTGCAGTAATACATCTGCTTATATCTACTGCGAGGTTCAACTGGAGAAGCTTGTCTGCGAAGACTTCAGGATCAAATATTCATCCAGTGGTTGTCTTAGAGCCCTTATAACCTGTTCTTTAACAACTTGACTGTGAGGCGAAATAATCTGTGCTTAAATTCGTGCAGACCATGTTTTCTCAAATGACAGACACATCTGTTATTATCCACCATATGTCCGTCAGCACGTAGTCGATTTGGTCACGGATCGATCTCCA